GTCCTGGAGCGGAAGCGCAAGGCCCGCGCCGAGCTGGCCGAGCGCAGGGCTGGCAAGCCCCTCTTCCATCAGCTCCAGCAGCTGGGGGGCAAGATGGCGGCGGTCGACAAGAAGTTGGGACGACAGCGAGACGAGGTCGTCCCCGACCTCGAGCGGCGGTTGGCCCGGGCGCAGGAGCAGGGGTGGATCTGGGCACGGGAGCTGGAGTCGCTGCGGCAGGAGACGGCTGCCTTGGCCCAGCGCCTGGCCCAGCAGCAGCAGCAGCCTGCCTACGGTCGAGAGTGGGGGAGTTTCTGGAGGAGGAGATCGCCGCGCTGATCCAGCGAGGTGGCATTCCCGTCGTGGCCGTGCAGGAGCATGGCGAGCCAGCAGACTGGCTTCAGGTTTCGGCGGCAGCCACGTTGAAACGAGGCTGGCGGGTGGTCGGCGCACCAGCTACCCGTGCGGAGGAGGGCGGTCTTTCGGCTGGAGTCACCCTAATCACGCCCACTTGCCTAGCACTGTCCAGGGCGCCTGGACAAGAGGACTGGGGCATAGCGCCTGCGGGAGCTCCAGGACGGCTTTGCCTACGCCTCGCGGAGGTGAGGGGCATCGGCTGGGTCGCTTCTTTCGCGCTGTACCTCTTCACAGGCAAGCCCGTCACGTGGCATCTGAATGCAGCCGTCTTGGATGAGGTAGTTCACTGGATTGCGCAGCTTTGCCTCCGGTGGATCGCCGTGGGCGATTTCAGCCACGAGTCAGACAGCATCTTAGAGGAGCCCATGGAATCATGAAGTTCACGGGTAGGTCTTGGCATGGCAAGGGGAAGGAGGCACGTGTCGGTCCAAGGTTGTGAAGCAGGGCATGGAGTCTTTCGTGGATCGCGCGATCGACTTCTTCTGGTTGGATGGTCGGTTGGCCTCCGTCCTCGACCCCGCGCAGTCATTCGAGCACATGCCCTGCTGGCCGCACAGGCCCACGTGGATCCGATCAGCCAAGCCTTGGCGCGCCTACAGGGTGAAGGCGCTCAAGGGACCTCGCCAGTATACCACCGAGCGGCCGCCGCCGGTTGCTCAGCCTACCGCGCCCTTGGAGTACCCCAAGGTGGACCTCGAGAGGGGCCCCCGGCAGCAGCAGCAGCTCGATGCGGGCTGGCAGCGCTTCTGCACGGCCGCGGAGGCGGAGCTGCGCGCGCTGTTCGGCTGGGGCCAGGCCGATGCGCGGAGGTACGAAGGTCGGGGTTTGGCCCCCGAGGTGGTGGAGGGACAGCTGCCCCCTCAGAGGCAGTGTCCCATCGCGGAGCGAGGGCCCGCGAGGGCCTGGAGGCGGGCCGCGGGCGCGTTGGCTTGGATAGGCCAGTTGCCCTGCGGCGTCCTGCAGGGGGCGCCCCAAAGAGGGGCTCCCAGGGGCCTCCGCCACCGCCAAATCGGGGGGCGAGCCTCCCCGCGACTACGTCGAGGAGGTCTCGCGCCAGCTGAGGCGCGCCTGGCGCAAGCTGCAGTTGGCACGGCACCACTGCACGTGGAACCCTGGGGCGTCTTCCTGGCCCCCGTGCTGCGCGAGGCGTCGAACCGCGTGCCCACGGTCGGCATCGCTAAGCTGATGCTCCAACTGCAGCGGTTCACCAGGAGCCGCGCCCAGACCCTGGAGCAGGGGCCCACGCGCCAGCGAGCAGCTCGATCCTATGAGAAGTTGAGCGACAACTATCCTGGATCAGGAGGCTACTTGTGCAAGATATGTCACTGGAGGCACGCCTGGAAGGGGCCAATTTCTTCGGTGCGCAAGGTCAAACTGGCAGCGAACCCTCGGAGTGCAGTCAACACGGAGGCCCAGGAGTGGGCATCCACATGGGGGGCAGACGACGGCAGCTACGACAGACTGTGGCAGGCCCAGGGCGCGCAGCTGGAGCGCCACAGTGATGCAGTACAGCTTCCACTGGATGCACAGCAGGTGCGTGCCATACGTCGCAGCTACAAGTGGCGCACTGGGTTCGGACTTGGACGCCTGGCACTTCGGACACTTGGCGTGGCTTAGTGACGTCTGTCTAGAATGTTTGGCGCGTTTGTTGATGTTGCGTGAGAGACTCTGCTCTGGGCCTCAGGCGATTCAGTTGATCGCGCTTTTTCTTGTGGCCAAAGGTGCGGGAGGTAGACCCATCGCGCTGTTTCCCACGCCCGCTCGCATCTGGGAGGCCGCCCGGGACACACTCTTTCGATCTTGGGAGAAGCAACATCTACGGCAAAAAAAAAACCTGTTCGTCCCAAGCCCTTCCTGTTACCCGTCAAGCAGCTCATTCGCGCCAAGAAGATTGACAACTGGACTCGGTGCCGCATCAACTGCGCCCGCGCCGCTGCTCTGGGAGGGCACCCATCACAGGTGGCGCGCTGCGAGCGCGGGGAAGTGGAGAGTCCGATGTGCCTTTTGTGTAACGAGGCGGAGGGCGCACAAATGCGCGTGTACTACAAGTGCGATTCGGAGGCCTGCGAGAAAATCAGGAGGGAGCTCGCGGACCCGATTGAAGCCCAACTTCAGAGACGTGGTCCATCTGGACGAGACGGCGGCCAGCAGAGAGGAGCAGCACTGTCGCGATGGTGACTTGCTACGCTGGAAGTGGGCGCGGGGCCTCATCCCAGACCCTGTGGGTGAGTGCGTCGTCCCGACTCCTCCTGGCCTCTACGCGTTCGGAGACCTGGACGGCGACCGCGTCTTGTCGGGCTGGGTCGCCACGGACGGGCGTGTGCTCTGCCAAGACGCGGGGGAGTTATCCACAGGAGGCCACGCCGCCATCAGTTTGGATCTTGAGAAAATCAGCGAGCGCCAGGCGGTCTCTGGGAGCGTTGCCGTCTCGCGGCCCACGTCGGCCAACTGCGAGATCTGGGCTGTTTTCCAGGCCGTTCGGAATTCAATGGGGCTCGAGGGGCTCATCATTGACAGTAAGTCCACTGTTGAGGGCCTCCTGGCTGGTAGGAAATTTTGCGAGAGGAGCGACCGGATAACCGCTCATCTGTGGCGCAGGGTTTGGTCTGTCTTGGAGGACCATGGGCTCGCGCCTGGAGTGAAACGTCGCGCAGAGAGCTCACCTAGAGGGGGGGGGGCCCTAGTGTCGTTCATGATAAATCAGTGTGTTGACTCCCGCGCGAGACATGGCGCTGAGGAGCACGCAGCACCGCAATGGCGAGTTGCCCAGGTTAAGGCTGATTTGAAACTCCTGCGTCGGATTTTGAGTTGTGTGGCCTCTTTTCGCGTGAAGCTGTGAGTGTCCAAGGTTGCCACCGCGAGCCTGCCACCTTCCACCGCTGGACGGGCTCGGAAAAAAGGTGCGGGCCCCCCGTGCTGCGGTCGCTCCCGAGCGGATCCACAGGCTCAGGCTCTTAGAAGGTGGCACCTGGAAGTGTACGGCCTGCCCTCGTACCATCCTCCTTCCTGTCGTCTGGCGGCGGCTCGCAAGGCATTTTGTCCTGGTTGGGAGGGTGCGTTGTCCGAAGGCAGGGCCCGTCTGGTTTCAAGGACCCTAATCCACGGGAGCGGTCCAAACAGGCCCAGCTTTGTTTCTGGAGCCGAGGCCGGAGGGGCCGAAACGATCCCGAGTTTGGCGTCCCCACCCCCGCCGCGTCGACAAGAGGTGGTCGAGAGAGTGGGCTACGCCGTGCGTGTTGTTTGTGGAGCCTTTGCCGAGTCTCGAGCCCAGAAGTTGCTGCGAGACTGCGAGGGCCCTCTATTGAAAGGAGTCGCGGCCCACAAGGGTCGGCGACGATACTTGGAACGTCTCCTCAACAATAGGGGTCCCTACACAGGCAAGCCTGTTCCGGAGAAGGATTGACGAACTGTTTTTCGGCCAGGAGGTGTGTGGTTGTTTGAGGCCCGCCCCCAGGAGCCCCCAGGACAAAATAGGAGGAGGAGGAGGAGGAGGAGGAGGAGGAGGAGGAGGAGGAGGAGGAGGAGGAGGAGGAGGAGGAGGAGGAGCAGGAGCAGGAGGAGGAGGAGGAGGAGGGAGGAGGAGGAGGAGGAGGAGGAGGAGGAGGAGGAGGAGGAGGAGGAGGGGGGACGAGGAGGAGGGGGAGGGAGGAGGGGGAGGGGAGGAAAATGATGATGATGATGATGATGATGATGATGATGATGATGATGATGATGATGATGATGATGATGATGATGAGATGATGATGATGATGATGGGGAGGAGGGGAGGAGGAGGAGGAGGAGGGGAGGAGGAGGAGGGCGGAGGAGGAGGAGGAGGAGGAGGAGGAGGAGGAGGAGGAGGGGTCCGGGTAGGAGGCGGAGGAGGAGGGGAGGAGGAGGGGCAGGAGGAGGAGGAGGGGGAGGAGGAGGAGGAGGAGGAGGAGGAGGAGGAGGAGGACGAATAATAATAATAATTATAATAAGAAGAAGAATATGAAGAAGAAGACCGCTAACGATACTACTAATAATAATAGCAATAATACTAATAATAATGAGTAAGAATACGAATGCATGAAGACAAATAATACGACTAATAATAACAATTGTATTAAGACCAATGATTCTTTTAATACTAGTGATGATGATACTAATACTACTGAAATAATGCTAATACTAGTGATACTAATACTACTCCTACTAACAATAATACTACTACTAATAATAATAAGAGTCATCATAACACTGATAATATTACGACTAACGATACTACTACGAATATTCATAATGTAATATGAAGAACCATACTTCGACTAACCATACTGTCAATACTACTAAGAAGAATAATAGTACTAATCGTACTCATAAGAATAACAATATGAAAAAGAAGACGAATAATACGAAGGAGAAGAAGAGGAGGAGGAGGAGGAGGAGGAGGAGGAGGAGGAGGAGGAGGAGGAGGAGTTCTTCCAGGGTGGCCCGCGGGCCTGGCGCCGCCGCGCAACCGCTGTCCGCGCCAGCCGTCCTGCTCCCGCTGCCGGCGCTCCCAGCATCCCCTCCTTTGCGTCCATCTTCTCTCTCTCCGTTCTCGTCTTCGTCGGCCCCCTCCTCCTCTCCACCCCTCCCCCTTCTCCCCACTCCTATCCCCTTGTTCCTCTTGCCATGTCCTCCCCCCCCTGGCCCGCCTCTCACCTCTCCGCCTTGCCTTTCCCCCCCTGCCCCCTCCCTCGTCCCCCGCTCCTCTGTGATCGCCGCTAACCCTCCTCACCCTTCATCGCGCGGGCCCAACGCAAAGCCCAATATCCGAGCGGGCCGACAGTTGAAAGACCCCACCGGGTCCTTCGAATCGCACGTGCGCAAGGCTCGAGGCAGACAGAAGGGAAAAGCAGGACAGAGACACGGGAAATGACGGGACAGAGGAAATAGACCGTCCCCTTCGCCGTCCTCTTCACCCCCTCGGAGTCCTCCCCGCCCACCCCCCGTCGTTCCCTTGCCATCCTCGCCGTCCTCCTCGCCCCTCGCCGTCCTCCCCGCCCCCCTCGCTGTCCCCTCCCCGCCGCCCCCGTCGGCGTCCTCCTCGCCCGTCGCCGTCGCCGTCCTCCCCGCCCCGTCGCCGTCCTCCTCGTTCCCTCGCCGTCCTCTCCGCCCCCCTCGCCGTCCTCCCCGCCTCCCTTGCCGTCCCCGCCCTGCCGCCCTCGCCGTCCTCCCTGCCCCGTCGCCGTCGCCGCCCTCCCCGCCCCGTCGCCGTCCTCCCCGCCCCCGCCCCCCTCTCTGCCCCCCTCGCCGTCCCCGGCCCGCCCCCCCTCGCCGCCCTCCCCGCCCCGCCCCCCGTCGCCGTCCTGCCCGCCGCCCTCGCCGTCCTCCCCGCCCCCGCCCCCGACCTCCCCCCCTGCGACAGCGGCCGCGGGCTCGCACCGCGCGCGGCCGCGGGGCCGCCGCCCGGCTCGCCGGGGGGAAGGCGCGCGCGCAGGCGGGCCCCGGGGCGGCGGCGGCGGCGGGGCGGCGGCGGCGGCGGCGGCGGCGGCGGCGGCGCCGGAGGAGGAGGAGGAGGAGGAGGAGGAGGAGGAGGAGGAGGAGGAGGAGGAGGGAGGAGGAGGAGGAGGACCAGGACGACGACGACGAGGACGACGAGGACGGAGGAGGAGGAGGAGGAGGAGGAGGGGAGAGGAGGAGGAGGAAAAGGAGGAGGAGGAGGAGGAGTAGAGGAGGAGGAGGAGGAGGAGGAGGTGAGAGAGAGGAGGAGGAGGAGGAGGAGGGGAGGAGGAGGAGGAGGAGGAGGAGGGAGGAGGAGGAGGAGGAGGAGGAGGGGAGGAGGAGGGAGGAGGAGGCGGAGGAGGAGGAGGAGGAGGAGGAGGAGAGGAGGAGGAGGAGGAGGAGGAGGAGGAGGAGGAGGAGAGGAGGAGGAGGAGGAGGAGGAGGACGAGGACGACGAGGACGACGAGGACGACGAGGACGACGAGGACGACGAGGACGACGAGGACGACGAGGAGGACGAGGACGACGAGGAGGAGGAGGAGGAGGAGGAGGAGGAGGAGGAAGAGGAGGAAGAGGAGGAGGAGGAGGAGGAGGAGGAGGAGGAGGAGGAGGAAAAGGAGAGTGGGATGGAACCTTTGGGAATTGTCAGCACCGCCGCGCGGGAGAGGGGGCAGCGGGGAGAGGCCCAGGCCAGATCCCAGCGCTCGCTGGTCCGAGGGTGGTGACGCGCGGGGGAGGGGGGGACGAAGAGAGAAACAAACCAGATCCCAGCGTCCACAGACCCGAGGTTGGTGTGAACGCCCCCCGGCCCCCACACCCTCGCCAGGCGGCGGGCGGGGCAGGGGCCCCACCGGGGGCACGGACGGGGTCAGAGATGGCCATCTTGCACCACGTTGCTTGCACCACCAGGCTTGCGCCAGAACAGCCCGCGCCGCACGGCTCGCCCCACATGTTGCACCTCCTTGCTCGGGCACCTGGGGTCCGCGTGCAATGGAGGAGCGAGCAGATCCCGCTGCGGGGTCCAGACCCATCTCCGCGCGGACCCCCGCACTACCCCCTTCGCTCCACCGACGCCGTGCCTGCGAACTAACTGTGTGATGTCTGCGGGCACCGCGGCATCTGTGACGGAGATCGATGTGGGAGTTCCTTGGACCCCCGCCAGGAGCTCCCCGACAAATTTCCGAGTTGGGGGGCTTTTCGGGGGTTTCCTCCCCCGGCCCGGGTTTTTTTTGGGGGGGGTCCGGGGCCCGACATTTAAAAGCAAGATTGTTCCCAGAAAAAAAACCTCGAATCCCTCCCCGAAAAAAAAACGACCTCCCCCGAAAAACATCCGAGCAAAAACCCGCACCAGCGTGCGTGTGAGCGTCACGCTGCTTGTGAGCACCGCGTTACTTGTCGTCACCGCCGCTCTTGTCAGCACGATCCTGACTTTGGGCAGCGCTGGGAACGTGCACGCAGCCGCGCCCACCAGCGCCAGAGTTCATCTGCCGCCTTCTCCTGTGCCTCCCCTCGCTTTCCGCTTACTACTAAGTCGGCCCGTCTCCCGACAGGAGGAATATTCAAAAATAGTAAAAAAGTCAGGGGCCGTTTTTTGGGGGTTGGCATTTTTTTTGGTTTGAATATTTTGGAGTTTTTTTTTTAGTATTTCTTATTTTTCGCCCAAAATCCGCCTGTAGAGGGGGACATGCCCGACCTAAGCTTACCATGTGCCGCTGGTCGTCCAACCTTTTGGTGATTCACCCATCGCCGCCGAGCATCGCCAGAGCCTCCCGGGAGTGTCTTCCCATGCAAGGTCTCCCCTCCCAGACTGCCCAGGCCCTCCCAGCGCCTCGGGCCCCCGCGCCTCCCTGGGTCGCAGAAGCCACCCAGGGCTTCCCATAGCATCCAGTGCGGAGCCTCCAACATGGCCCGTGCCCGCCTCAGCATGGCCTCCTTGGGCCCTCGAGGGCCTCTCGACCTATATTCCTTCGAGCGGAGCATGCAGGGGCCCCGAGACGAGCTCTCCGGAGCTTTCCAGGGTTTCCTTCGTGCCCCAGGGTCTTCTATATACCTATACGACCACCCTTCGGGTGATAAGGAGGTTCGGGGGGGAGGAACCAACGTCTCACTCGATCGGTCTCACTATCGATCTCACTATCGATCTCAGTATCGGTCTCGCTCGATCGATCTCCCTCGATCGATCTCACAATCGATCTCACTCGATTTATGTCACAATTGATCTGACTATCGATCTCACAATCGATCTCACAATCGATCTCACAATCGATATCACATTCGGGCTCACTATCGATCTCACTACCGATATCACAACCGCTATCACAATCAACGTCATCATCATCATCATCATCAACATCATCATCACCAACATCATCATAATCGGGACACCGTCCTCATCATCAACAACATCATCATCACGGTCATCAACATCATCGGGACACCACCATCATCATCATGACCATCATCACAATCATCATCATCATCATCAACATCATCATCATCATCAGCAGCAGCATCGGGACACAGTCATCGTCATCATCATCATCATCAGCAGCATCATCATCGGGACACCATCATGATCACCATCGTTATCATCATCATCATCATCATCATCATCATCATCATCGGGCCACCATCATCATCATCTCAACCTCATGGTCGACATCATCATCATCAGCATCATCAACATCATCATCAGCATCATCATCATCGTCATCATCGGGGCACCATCATCATCATTACCAACATCAACATCAACATCATCATCATCATCATCATCATCATCATCATCACCATCGGGACGCCATCATCATCAACATCATCATCATCACCATCAGAATAATCATCATCATCGGGACGCCATAATTATCATCAACCTCATCATCAACATCATCATCATCGGGACATAATCATAATCAGCATCTCCAAAATCAACAACATCATACTCATCATCATCGGGACACCATCATCGTCATCATCCTGATCATCAACATAATCATCATGATCATCATCCTCATCATCGGGACACCATCAGCATAATCATCATCGTCATCATCATCGTCATCATCATCATCATCGACATCATCATCATCATCATCATCATCATCATCATCATCGGGACACCATCATCATATCATCATCATTATCATCATCATCGTCCTCATCATCATCATCAGCATCACCATCATCATCATCATCGTCATCATCATCATCATCAGCAGCATCCTCATCATCAGCATCATCCATCATCACCATCATCATCATCATCATCATCATATCATCATCATCATCATCATCATCATCATCATCATCATCATCATCATCATCATCATCATCATCATCATCATCATCATCATCATCATCATCATTATCATTATCGTCATCATCATCGCGGGACACCGCGGGACACCGGCGGGACACCGCGGGGCACCGCGGGACACCGCGGGACACCGGCGGGACACTGGCGGGACACCGGCGGGACACCGCGCGCCACCGGCCGCCCGGAAGAGACACATTTGGTCCGGCCGCGCCTCAGCCACAGGGACACCGACGGGACAACAGCGGGACACCGGCGGGACACCGCGCGCCACCGGCCGCCCGGAAGAGACACATTTGGTCCGGCCGCGCCTCAGCCACAGGAGACTTTCCTCTCGCCCGCCCACGCAGATTCGCCTCGCCCGCGCGCACGGCACGCACGAACACGAAACCGAAATCGATTTCCCGGTAGGGGGGCTCTCCGTTCCACTTCGATCTCACCCCCTCACCTCCGATTCCCCTATCAGAGCTTGCCTCTGTAGGGGTCCTAGTGGATTCATATGGTAAGGTTAGGTTTGCCGCCGATTTTCGCCGCACGCCCGAGTGCCCGGGTGCCCGGGGGTGCCCGGGTGCCCGGGTGCCCGGGGGTGCCCCGGGGTGCCCGGGTGCCCGAAGTTGCCCTGTAGCCCTATAGCCCAATAGCCCTGTAGCCGTATAGCCCTACAGCTCTACAGCCCTATAGCCCTATAGCTCTATAGCTCAATAGCCCTACAGCCCTATAGCCCTATACCCTATAGCCCTGTAGCCCTGTAGCTCTATTACCCTATAGCCCAATAGCCCTATAGCCCATACAGCCCTACAGCACTACTGCCCTAACAAGATTATGATTGGTTTTTCTTGGGTCTCATATATTTACACACGTAATGTATGTATATATATATATATATGGATCGTTCCTGCTTTTCTCGCGCTATGTTGCAGTGTTGCTGCCCGCAACCTTGCCTTTCCTGCTCTCGCCCTCCCGACGCTGTACTCGAGTGGCCGGCGGTCGATCCCGCCACAACGCCTGCGTCGTGGGCGATGGGGGGACCTCTTGGGGCCTTCTGGGGGGCCTCTCGGGGCCTCCTCCTCCTCCTCCTCCTCCTCCTCCTCCTCCTCCTCCTCCTCCCCCTCCTGGGGGCGGCTTTCTTTGGGGGAGCAGGAGTCCTCCTGGTTGGGCCTCCTGGGGCCGTTCCAGGGCCTTCCGAGGGGGCATGGGGTGTCTGTGCGGGCCGGATGGGCTCCAGGGGCCCTCTTGGGGCGGAGGGACCCCAGACGGCCGCTCGGGCTCCCCTCTCCTGTGCCCCTCGTGTGCTGTGAGCCGCGCGGCCGTGGGAGCCCCTGTCCCTCAAGGGGGCCCCCCGGGAGGTCTCTCGTCCCCCCCTTTAAGGGGGGGGCCCTTCTCAAGGGGGGCCTCCCAGCCCAAGAGTGCCCCCTCTCAAGGGCGGCCTTCTTGGGCCGCGAGCCGCTCGGCCATGGGCGGGCCAAGGGGGGGGTCTCCTCGCCTCCCCTTCTTCCGTCCACTTGACGCGAGCGCACCTAGCTTGCCCTTCCCCCTCCCCTTCCTCCTCCTCCTTCTCCTCCTCCTCCTCCTTCTCCTCCTCGTCCTCCTCCTCCTTCTCCTCCTCCTCCTTCTCCTGCTCCTCCTCCTGCTCCCCCTCCTCCTTCCTCTCTCCTCCTCTCCTCTCCTCCTCCTCCTCCTCCGCCTCCTCCTCCTCCTCCTCCTCCTCTCCTTCTCCTCCTCCTCCTCCCCTCTCTTCTCCTCCTCTCTCCTCCGCCTCCTGCACCTCCTCCTCCTCCTCCTCCTCCTCCTCCTCCTCCTCCTCCTTCCCCTCTCCTCCTCCCCTCCTCCGCCGCCGGCGGGGATTTGGCCGGACCCTGGAGTCCAGGCTGCTTCCCTTTTGGACCAGGGCTATAGTTTGCTTGCCACTTCCCGCCGTTTACAGGCTGGGGCGCTCGTGACAACTCTCGCGCCCCTCCTTGGGGGCCCAGCATCGCTTAACCGATCCCTAACCCCATACTGATCCCTCCCCCTACCCCGATCCCAACGATCTAACCACCCCAGTTGGGGATACGCCTCTCGAAACCCGAAGGGAACAGCCTACATCCCCATCCAGGGGGGTGAATCGGCCAGTGGGGCCCAGGGAAGGCCAGTGGGGATAGGGATCGGTTAGACGATGCCCAGGGGCATCGCTGGTCCTCTCTCTTGGGGGGGGGGGTTCTTGGGGGCCCCTCGGGCAGCCTCGAGTATTCTGAATATTGGGAACCCGAGCATCCTCCTCCTCCTCCTCTCCTCCTCCTCCTCTTCCTCCTCCTCCTCTTCCTCCTCCTCCTCCTCCTCCCCCTCCTCCTCCGCCTCCTCCGCCTCCTCCTCCTCCTCCTCTCCCCCCTCCTCCTGCGATAATCGCACTGCGCATGTTCAGTGGTTTTGTGGCCTCTTGAGCCAGCCCCGAGGGCCTCCGAGATGGCCCATAACCCACAAGGCTCCCTTGAGAGAGTTCCCACACGGGCCCCTGTCGGACAACCTTCGGCAAGCTGGAGAGCCATCTGGAAGAGACCCGCGAGGACCCCCCACGAAGGCACCGAAGAGCCCAGACAATCGATCCCTAGGGCCTTCGAAGAATAGCTGCGCTGCTCAAGCGCCTCGCGTCACGGCGGCGTATATTTCACAACTTTACCTTTCTTCACCTTGTTGCCCGCCAACTACTTCTTATCTCTTGGGTACCCAATGCGTGTGTATTTGGAGCAGGTGGTGATGCACTCATTCTTTTTCGAGTAGAGCGCCAGTGCGCTTCATAATGGTTGGTCTGCCGCTCAGCTTCATATCACTGCCACCGCATGCGCAATCCTTTCGTCTTCACACGGCTCGCGTCTCTTACCAACACTTTGTCACGCGTCTCCGGCTCCTCTGTATGTTGCGCTGTGCGCAGCCTCCTTGGACTGTGATGGGCTGGGTCTGACTCGCCTGGGGCCGCGCAAGGTCACCGCCGGCCACGCGGCGCCATGTCCCTGGCGCAGCTCCTCAGCCTTGGCATCCCCACGCCGATGTCGACGCTTCTCTCAGCGGTCTAAGTGCTACCCGGGCAGAGTTGCCGTGCCTGCAGAGGCAGTAGTTTGCCCACGAACCAGACGTGCGTACCGTGTTGTGTTTCTCGATTCTGACTCGTGAGAGGTGTGCAGGATGTCGTCGCGTAAGTTGGAAGGCTCAGCAACTTGACGCCACACCCGGCGAAGCTTCGGCCAGTTCTTTGGTCGATCGCTTGTACTTGCCGCCTCGCTCTCGCGCCTGTCCGTGCCATCGCTGCCACTTCAGCTGTTGCTCCTCTCCTCAGCGGCCGCCCTCTGGTCGTCTTGAGTTCCTGACTGCCTGCGGAAAGAGTCGTACACAGTGGGGGCGCGCATCAAGAAACCATCTGCTTTTCGTCAAGGTACCCGGGGTTTCTTCGCTCCGCGCGCTGCGCGGTGACTTCCCGCAACAGTTGAAGAAGCTGCTGCGTTCAGGATGCTCAGGTTTTCACCTTGCGTGCAGGTTTTCAGGGTTGGGATTCTTGCGAAGGTTTCTTGCGGCCGCGCCCGCACTGCATGCTATTAGTAAATGAGGGAAGCAGCGTCATCAGCGGGCCAGCAAGGCAGCCGTGCTTCCGCCCTCCTCGCCTTGACACGGTGCCTGTGCCCAGGTAAGAACGACGCTAGCTCAGAGCTCATCCCATCGAGCACATACGAGCCACCGCCAGAGAAGCCCAAGAAGGATCCTCCATCGCAGACTGCGAGGAAGGGAGAGGATCAGAGGATCAACGTATATGTAGATGCATGCATGCGTGACAGTGCGTGTGTACATACAGATATACATATCTAACCTACACATTTACATACATCACACAGACATGCATATCTACCAACATACATGCATACACACATACATATACACATACATCCCTACATGCATTCAGACATGCATGCAGAAACAACTACACACACATGCACATGCACATACACATAAACATACACATACACATACACATACACATACACGCACACACGTACACATACACATACACATACACATACACATCCACATGCATATGCACATACACATACACATACAACTACACATTCACATTCACATTCACATTCACAGTCACATTCACAGTCACATTCACATTCACATTCACATTCACATTCACATACAAGTACACATTCACATTCACATTCACATTCACATTCACATTCACATTCACATTCACATTCACATTCACACTCACACTCACACTCACACTCACACTGACACTCACATACACATACACACACATACACATACACATACACATACACATGCACATACACATACACCTACACATACACATACACATATTTACATACATGCACACATGCACACATACATACATACATACATACATACATACATACATACATACATACATACATACATGCATACATATGTGTATACACTCGCGCACACACATATACCTATAATTCTACATCCTGTATCGAAATAGCCCCCCTGGAAGGCCCCCCTTGGAAAATTCCGGGACCCCTCTCGGATGGCATCCCTCTGGCCCGGGGCACCTTTTGGACAGCCCCCCAGGCTTCCGGGGCCTCCCCAGCTGGCCAGCCGCACCCCTCTTGACGCTGCGGACGGCCCCAGTTGCCTCGCAGCGACCCCCAACGCGGACAAGAAGGGGTCGAGGACGGCCTACAAATGGCCCCAAGAGGGCCCAGACACGACCCAACAGTCTCCCAATAGGGCCCCAGGAGACGCCCAAGAGGGCCGCAATATGCAGATATCGATGGTTTCCTGTGGGGTTTTGATGAATTTTAGCGTCCGCACCGGCCCAAGAAGCTTCCGAGACGGCCCCGAGACGGCCGAAAACGGCACCAACATGGCCCAAGACGACCCAAGAAGCTTCAGAGACGGCCACAAAACGGCCCAAGAGACCACCAAAACGGCCCAAGACGGCCCCAAAGCAGCCCCCGAGGACCCGAACACGGCCAGGAGGGCCCGAAGACGGTGCACGAGGCCCCCAAAATTCCCCAGAGGCTTCCAACAGACCCCCAAGAAGCCCACTAAAGGCCACCTACACAGCCCAAAATGCCGCAAAAGAACCCCGAGAGGCCCCCAAGATGTCTCCAACAGCTCTTGAAAATGCCCCCCCCCCAGGAGGGGTTCAAGACGGCCCCGTGACGAACACAGGTTTGACGCCAAGTCTCCTGCTCCCAAGCGGCCCTGTGACGGACACAGCATGGACGCCAAGGATCCCAGAGTTCCAGGGGACGAACATGCCCTCTCGTAAGCGAGTCGGCGACACAAAAAGCTTCGAACGCCACGGCTCCCAAGAGCGAGCAGCAGCTCTTAACGCCAAGGCTTCCAAGAGCAAGCGGTGTCATGTGACCCAATCGGCCTCCAAGAGAGCCCCGAGACACCACGAGGCCTTCAAACGGCTTCACAGACGCCTCCAAGACGCCCAGCCCAGCACAAACAAAACCGCCAAGCGCCCTTCCTGACCCATGGAAGTTCGAAGAAGACTTACTTTCCCCCTCATCCTCCTCCTGCTCCTGCCGAGCCTCCTGCCGGCTCGAGACTTCCAGGAGCCATCGGCGCCCTCGAGGCCACACTCGAAGTTGCGCTCATGGTCAGACCTGGCTGTGCCTTTCAAGGTTGCTCGTGTTCCCAGCTCTCTACTGTCAACGGCCTTCTTGATATTCGATCCAGCCCCTCGTTGAGCTTTGTGTTGAAAGGCAGCCTCACAACACACCGAGCGACATGACAACCTTTGCAACCCGTATTCTGCTCCCGTCATTGCTTCGAGGCGGGCTCCTTGGATTGCCCCCTCGTGGTGTGAGGCCGCAGGCCACCGTCGTGCCCGCGCAGTTGCGCCAAAGTAAATCTTGGCGCGCACATTGGGTGCTGGGGCACGTTGCGGTGTCCTGGGCCGTCTTGGAGTGGGCTTCGGGCCATCTGGGGCGCTCTGCGGGCTCCCTGGAGCTCCGCCTCGTGATGCCTGGCCGCCGAGAGCCGCCGAGCCAGCGCATGTTCGCCAATGATCTTGGTGCGCAGTGGGTTCTGGGGCATGTTGCGGGGTCCCGGGCCGTCCTGGAGAAGGAATCGGGGGTGGACAGAACCCCCAATAGTGACACGTCGATTAGTGAATTGTCCGTTTTCGGTTTTCGAGAGGGCGCCGCGGCCGTTATTTTCCAGGCTTGCGCCCGCCAGGTTTGGGCCTCAGGTCGTTTTCACTAAACCACGTTTTGCAAAAGGGGGGTCTGTCCATCCCCGAAGGAAGGCCTCGGGCCGCCCGGTGTCCTGCAGGGTCTCTCTTCGGAGCTGCTCCCCACTATGCCCGGGCCGCCGAGAGCCGTCCCGACCCCCGTCGGACTCTTCGTGGCGGCAGCCCTGCGGGTGCCAACCGGCTGCGACATCGAGGTGCCCAGAGCCCGCCCCTGAGATCGCAACGTCGAGATTTCCAGCCCGACCCCCCCCCGATGTCGAGAGATATCGAGATATCGAGCCTCTCCGCCCGGCGCCGCCCCCGACAGCGAGACGTCGAAGTAAATCGAGCTATCGGATATCCCCGCCGGGCTCCGCCCCCGGATGTCGAGCTATAGAGAGATCTCGGGTCCGCGCCTCAGCTGCGCCCCCCGACATCGAGATGTCGAGATGTCGAGTCCGGGCGAAGAAGGCAGCCCGGTTCCGCGGGGCGCCTGGCCCCCACGCTGCTGCCGCGATTCATTCATTTACTCGTGCACGTGCAGCGAGCCTCCGCGTTGGCTCGGACCGCAGCGCTGGCCTCCGCGAGGTGGCATGGGTACGCGCTGCTTGGCTTGTGCTGAGGAGGGAAGCAGCGCCGGGCCCGACGAGGTGACATGATGGATCCAGGCTTTTCTCCATCGCGCGCCGCCCTGGGAGGGCCCCCCCATCTGGGCGCGGGCGCGTGACTTCTTCCGCCGGCGCGGGCACGAGGAGCTCGCGGGAGTGGGCGGCGGCATGCAGGTTCTCATATCCGATTGGGCAACCCAGACATGATGGCGTCGTAAAAAAATCAGGACGGGAGGTTTTTCGCTGTTTTCGGCCCCTGGGGGCCCTCGCCGGGCCTCGGGACCGTCAAAAAACGAGTCAGGACGAAAAACCGGCCCCAGGGGAAGGGTCGGGATGTGCGGGGACGCCGTCCTGAAAAATCAGGACGTCGCATGTCTGGGAAGCTTGAGCCGCGAGATGCACTTCGCCCGCGCCGAGGCAAAGCGGCGTCGGCACCTGGCCGCAGACCTCGCTGCTGGCCGCAGGGCTGGCGCGCCTGAGCCGCAAGTTTGCGTTGAGTCTGTGGCAGCGCTTGCTTCGAGACATCCCAGCACTTCGGCGACAAGAAGACGCCATTGCGCTCGCGGCAGGCAACGGCGAAGGCGCGGGCGAAGACGAGAACGGTGCAAACGCAGATTCGGGAAGACTGCGACGCACTTGGGGAGCGGCCATGGTTATTATGTTCACTTCGAAAACCGAGGCTGGTTTCTCCTGCGAGGAGTAGGACGTATATCGCATGTGGGGCTATTGGGTCATGGGCTCAGGCTTCGCGACGGAGTTCATGGAAATGCGTCATCGAGTCCGCTACGTCGCCGCGCCCGAAGTTGCGATCACCATGAAGGGAAACACCCGTGCAGCTGGTATCAGCAGAGCCGAACCTGCATCAGGTGGGAGAACTGATGGCCATTCCGTACTTGGTGCGCCCAGCATCGCGCGCTGCCCGCCGAGGATGCGCAGATTCCTCTGCGGTGGCGCGGGGATGCACCCATTACGCTTTGCGAGACGGCCGTTTCCATGTGCACGTGTGGAACACCAGGGGGGGCGCAGTGAACGTCATGGCCCCGCATCCAGTTATCACTGAGGAAGCGGAAACCATCTAAGCTGGGTGTACGCGCTTCCGTTTCGACTCATCGCCGCCCGCGGGCTTCGTGGAGCATGAGGCTGACACGTCTTTGTGTAACCAACTCTTCGCGATGATGCTGGCTTGCTTTCCTGCCGTATTGTGAGTGTGCTCTAGCTCGGTGGGCGCTCTAAGGAGCCGCGCCCTGATCCAAAGCAATCGTAATCGCAGGACAAGTTGCGATCTGCATTCGCCTGGCCTGTCCCCCGCATCTTCGCGCCAACGTGCGGGGGGGCTTAGAGATGTTGATGTTTCCTTGTTATTCCCATTGCTCGCGCCTGGGTTCGCCTGCCACCGGCGCCAGCACAATCGACGGAAGGGAGTAGACGTGAACAGGTATACGGGGACAACGACGACGACCACCACCACAACGACGACCACGACAACGACGGCGATCCACCGTCGCTCGAACGCAATAGAAGTCCATGGGGAGAAGGATGACGAGGAGGAGAAAAGAGTAGGAACAGGTGGAGGATTGCAGCGAAGACGACGACGATGACGACGACTGACGACGCCATTCGATCGCCGTTCGATGCACTGGGCCTCTAATGAGAAGGAGGACGACTACAACGACGACGACGGCGACGGCGATGACTGCGTTCGGTCGCTGGTTGAAGGCAAAGTATATCAAAGGATGAGGAACTGGAGGAAATTTGGTGGGAGTACGAAGAGGAGGAAGATGAGGCGGAGGATGACAATGACAATGACGACGACGACGACGCCTCTTGAAACGAGGCCCTCCCGGAGGACCCCGACAACCCCAGTTTCGGGAAGGTGCCGACTTGTAGTGGCAATGAGGCTTCTTGCTGTAGCC